AGCAGAGCTCCTGAGAGGGGAAGTTGGGTAGTGGCAGCTTCATCCCAGATCCACTGCAAACGAAGGCTAACGTTTGGCACCCCGTCAGCACACCTGTACCTATGAACCATGTGCTGCTACTTGCCTGGTTTTTGACACTTTTAGCTGCGTGACAGAACTAGGAGCATTGCAAAGCGTGAAGTGAAGGAGCCAAGTTCATAAAGACATGAAGTTTGCTGGTTCTGTTGCTCCCAGAAGCCTTTTTTCTTTCAAGTTCCATAATGTGAATTGAAATGTAATAGTCTGGAGCTAAATGTAGTTGGAGACAGACTTTTTCTCTGGTAGGAAACTGATGATCTGTAATGAATGTCATATCTGGAGTCTTTCTGTATAAATGGTTCCTGCTTGTGCCCAGTTTTTAACTCATTTCTAGAGTTTGTTTCCTACCCCTTACTGCTTTTTAGATTAGAATTCGTCTTTCTATTTGTGAACGTACTTACCAGTAACATATAAAAAGAAGAGTGAGTGTTAGCATGGATTACTCAAACTGTTAGTAGTCCACTTCTGTTTGTGAGAGTGCATTGCCTTTTGTTTATCTGTAGTTAGAACGAACAAAACTTTTAAGAAATAGGAGTATTTCTGTGGCTGAAACAAATGCATTTCTCATTCTGTCTCCTGCACCAATTGAAGACTGAGAATTGGTCACATTTTGGTGGAAGAATAATGTATGTTCAAGCTGTTGTTATCAAAAGGCATAAATGTTTTTTGCATAATAGTACTCTTTTAGTTGACGAGGTAATGTTTCTAATGCCTGAAGTGTTAATGATACTTTGAAGAGATTAGTTTTGTTGGAGGTTTTCTGTTACTGTCTGTACAGTTGCCGGACCTGGGGATTTTACTAGATGCAGGCAGATTCAGCAACAAGCACTGTCATGCTCAGAGGATTTGCAGTCTTACCCCTGAGCTTGGCTCCATTTCTGCTAGAGGGAAAGATTCAAGAAACAGTCTACGGTTAGTTTATACTATTTCTGGGCTCGGTTGTGAATGATTGCGGTAATGATAATTACTTCTGTGAACTTCATAAGAAAATACTGGGAGATTATCAGAAGTAGTTCTGTTCAGGCAGATATCCTTAATTATGCTAGTGACCTTATTTATATATTGGTCAATAAATGTGAATACTGTAAGATAACATAAAAGCTTTAATTTTGGTCCAAATATTTTCATAGATTATCAGGAGAACAAAAGCATAGCTTTTTCCTCAGGACTGACATGTCCCAAATCATTGGAATAAAACACTGTATCATTCCTTGGCCATGAGAGCAGTGGGTATATATGGCCTGGGCCCGTCACTTTCATAAGCTCATTGAATATTTATATAGCATCTCTGCCTACTTGGGCTTCTGTTTAGTGTCTGGTTTAAGTAGCTGAAATAGATTCTTAGATTCCACGTACAGAAAAACAGAAAAAAACCTAGCAGTCACTTTGTCACTGGGGAAGGCATTTTCTTTTAAGTGTAATACATTTCGATTTCTCCCTGGCATTGATACCGATCTTCATTATGTTTCAAAGGCAAGTAGAGAAAACAAGTGGGACAGAAATGTAAAGCTGTGTTGTGAAGTGGCAGAGACAGATACCTGCCTTTGAATGCTGGGTGTTCTATTTTTCTGCTTTTTAGAAAACAGTTTCAGGAACTGACATAGTAACTTTAGGGCAAAATTTTGGTACTGACTTGACTGAAGAACTAGAAATCACTAGCACAGAGCTGTATTTTTTTTAATTTTAAACTTGTCTTAGGTAACCTTTGTAATTAACGACAATGTGGTCAAGATTTCAGCCTGTACATAGGTTGCAGCTTCATTTACTGTTTCAGTGTAGTTCAGAATAAAGTATTGTAATTCTTCATAATAAAATAACCTTGTGGTTTTGTTACAGTCCAGTGCAGTTCCATGTTATTGGCCTTCTATGTTATCAATAATGTAAACAGAGAATAGGTTTAGCGATCTTTTGTAGTACATGCCAATGTAAGCAGTTACGTTTACAAGACAGACATCGGAACTGTCCTGTTCCTTAGTTTCTGTCTGTAATTTCTTCCAGAATCTGGATGGATTACAGCCATGTTTTCTTACATGTTTTCTTCCCAGGATATTTTTGAACCTTATTTAAAGTGAGATTTGAGGCTTCTGCAATATTGACTCCTTTCCCAAGCCCTGCAGAAGATCCCTGCAAAAGGTCCACTGCCTTACTCTGCACTGTACGTTTCACAGATGTTTCTCTCCAAAGGAGAAACTCTGAGGCCAATAATTAATTGGAAAAATTCACTGACCTCTTTGTATTGGGCAGTATAGTTCCACTAAATCTGTCTAAGAAGTTGAGACCTAGGATGATGGTTTCACGATATTTACAAAAATCTGCTGGTGTGGGAGATTACAGGCAGATGAGAATGAGAAGATTTGGGAGACTCTCAGCATGCAAGTGGGCCAGCGTGGTGGATAACAGTGATTTTTTTCCTTTGATCTGTGCATGCTCGTTGCAGAAATGGCTTTACTACATGCAGAGCAATTGCTGAAGTAGCTTACATTGCAGCCTAGATCATTACGGTACACTGGCGTGAGTTTTAGGCTACCATAAAATGCTGTTTCAGTGGATCACTGGTGGTTCAGGAACAGCTGGTATGGACTGGAACTTCTCTAGTAGTGGTTGTTCTGGAATCGGAGCTCTTCGCCTCGCGAGTCACACTGAGAAGCAGATTTATCTTGAGTGGGTGCATTGTAGGGTTTGTTTTCCTTGCTTCATTTCACTGTGTAGTAAGTCACAGGTGACATACTAAAGCATCATGGTGACAAAAACTATGCCTGACTCGGTCAAGTTATATGCACAGTTTAACTGTATGACATTCAAGAAACTCTCAGTAGATGTGTAAAGCAGCGGTAGTTGGCAACTGATTTTTACGTTAAGGTATTGCTAAGGCTGTGGTTTGCTGCTTCTGTTCCCGCTTAACTTTGAAGGAACCTCATTATATTCCTGCAGTAACTTTTTGAAGCATGTGTGGATTTTAATTAAAATTTTACTTTCTCCACATACTTCCTTAACTATGTTAACCGAACGTCTCATTTGAATTGAAGTGGAACAGACTGCATGGTTTATTTCAGTTGACAGCACTTAATCTAGATTAATTTGTACTGTTCGGTATTTCACTGATGGAAAGTAAAAGGTAACATTGTAGGCATATCAGAGTTTGGCTACAGCATGAAAATCAAAGCACTAACGTTTCCCAAGCACGCGCGAGTACTGTATTACTGAAAGGTCACTGTTTGTTCAGGCTTTGAAGTATGACATCATACATGATGCATGACCTTTGGAGAAAACACAAAAAATTTGTGGAAGGAATGGATATTTTAAAACTTGTGTTATTAACTGTATTTCATGTAGGTATAGTTACGCATGTTAGCACAAATGTGCCAGTTAGGTCTTAAGAGCTAGCAATGCTCTTTGCTTTTCTTATGTGTAAGCCTTGCCTGTTTCTGTTTCTGTCTCAGTTACTTCCTCATGTTATAGCTTGAGACTCTGCAGTAAGATTATCTGAAAAGGAACTTGTAAGAGGGATGTGCTCAGATTTGTCTCTGAATTCAGTTTTACTCATTGATGGTCTGTTTTGGATTTCACATCTAAATCTCCTCCTACCCAGCTTTACTCTCTTACCATAGAACTTGCATTTCAGAAAGAGGATCCATCCTGCAGTGTAAACTTTGTGATTTGTTGTTTGACGTGGTACATAAAAACGCATCTTATTTTGGGCAAAAAGATAGAAGAGAGAATCCCATCATCAAGCCACAACCTAAACTGACGTTATGTCTAAATTCCTTTGCCCACTAGTTCTTGGTTTGAAATGAAATTTTAGGGAATTAATTATTTAAGATTTGGACATGTACGATTTGGCTATCACATAATCACAGAATGGTTGAAGTTGGAAGGGACTTCTGGAGGAATCTCTTGTCCGATCCACTGCTTAAATGCAGATCAGGTTGCCCACGACCATGTCCACGTGGCTTAAAGAATATAAATAATATACGGGTATAAGAGTATAAACAGTTAATCCTCAAGCTCTCAAGTCTTTTTAAAACTACTTTTGTAATTAAAAAAAAAAAAAGCTCATATGTCTTCAGAAGGTATTTCCAAGGTTGAAATTTTGCAGATAATTTAGAACTGTTTTTTATTTAAATAAGTAACACTTTCCAAAGCTATAAATACACATGATGATGTATTGTGTTACAGTGTACCTTAGAAGTCTAGATAGATTTTTGTGGAATATACTTCTCTTAAGAGAATTATGCTGCAGGTCTGTTGTTAACGTCAGCTTGTCCTGAGTTCTTAGTAGTCTGGGTGTGAATGTATGTATGAGTCTCTTAGGGTTATACATTATTATCTCATCCACACACACAAATGTATTAGTGTAATTTGTGAATTCACGTGTATGTATATATAGAAAATAAAAAATGACAATTCTCATCTTAGCTGGTTTGCTAATGACATAATGAACACCTTATCAAAGGAAAAAAGTTAGTGGCTCTTACTTGATACTGCTTTTGAAGGCTGCATAGATACAGAAGATACAGCAGACACATGATCCCCATGCTAGCTTGTGTGCATGTGTATATGTGGCTTTCAACTTTTTTCCCTTTTTTTTTTTTTCACTTGGTAGTTTTTTGTGGTTCTTCCTTCTGGAAGCAAGCATGAGCTGTCAATAAGCATAGCTTTTCTGGCTCAGTGCGGGAAGCACGACATGGAAAATACCTCAGTCAAACACATGCTAAATGAAGGAAGAATGTGAAATTAATGTCTGTTTGTATTACTATTTTGTGATACTGCTGATAATACCAAATTTACTCTGCATTTTATGTTAACATGTTTAATATTTTTGAGGAAACAAACATCGCTGTTATGTTTTTACGTATTTCTTGCATGAAACACGATTGGTTTTCTTGAGACATCTGTTAAATTAAACTTTTGTTTTTATTTAGGTTTATGAGTTAGATGGCATCCCCTTGATCCTGGACAACTGCAGCATTGATGACAACAATCCGTGTATCCTTTACAAAAGAATTCAAATTATTGAATATGACTCATGAGAAAAGATGTGAGGGTTTAATATATTTATGCCAGCATTGCTTTCACTTGGTACCTAAGTCTAACTGGCCTCATGAGTTTCTACGTTGTATTTAAATGCTTGGTTCAGAAGTGAGCAAACTCATAAATATGTTTCCATGAACAGGATTCTGAGTAAGTTGAACTGTGGTTATATTCTGTTTCCTAAAATAATAAATATTACCCGTTTGCAGATGTCAATTCAGAGAGCTAACGGTGATAGAAATCTGAATTAAGACTATGTTTGGTTATTGTATCAGATCTTGGAGCTTTCGCTTCAACTGAAATCTAGTCAGTAGACTGAAAGACGTACCCCATCAATTCTGTATGCTTATTAAATCTGACTGGAGAACTTATTCTAAGCACAGAGACAAGGCTAGCAACCGGTCATGAAAATGTGTATAATTGAGAGACTTAATGGTGCAGATTACTGAAATGTTGGGGAGATTTTAATATAAATGGCATTGTGTGTCATACTTGGGATTTTTTTCCTGGGGTTTAAGAGCAGAGACTTTCCAAGAGAGATTGCTATTGGAGGGAAATAACTTTGTGTTATTCATCTCTTCAGGAACTGCATAGTAATCCTGCTGCTGCGTTCAGTGGGTGAGGTATTATTTTCTGTCATCTAATCATTAGTTCCTTGTAAGTTTCTGATAAGTGCGTCTGGAAATCAAACGCCTTTCCTGTCTAGAGTCATGTCCGCTTTGTTATACTGAACAGATGAAACAGGTTTTTTAAATTAATTTGTGAGAAAAAGCTCACTTTTTAACAAGTATCGTAAAACCAAAAGAAGTTATGAAAATGTTACATATTCTCATAATTGTGTGCTGTAGAACATCATCTACATATAAATATATCTTAAAAGGATGAAATAATGTAGGGACAGATGATAGCAAAATGTTAACAACCTGGGTGGAGGAGCAATGGGTGTTAAGTATCCTCTGAGTTACTCACTTTGTTGCTTTGTATGCAAGGTTTTTACATTCGTCACTATTCCTACAGTTGGAGACCTGACAGTGTATCTCTTGGCAGTGCATGGAGTAGCAGAGTTGTACTTCCACGTTCCGATTGTGGTAAGGGTCACCGCTGGATGTGGTAGGAAGGGCAGGGAGAGTTACCTTTCCCTAAGCAGAAGAGCAGCCTTGAGAAAACCTTGAGTTTTGGTCCCGAGTTACTCTTCCTTTGCTGGAAAGCGCAGCTGTGCAATAACTTTTAGAATTTCTTTCTAGGATTAATCCTTCATTTCAGCTGTTAATAAAAGAGAATAAAGTTTGAGACCTTCAAAGGGTAGCATTGTAATTTACAATCTTGAATGAAATGAAAATAAAATACCATGGGAGCCTTTACTGCATTTTGAGCAGTGTGGAACTTCTTACACCTATTGATACAGGCTGACATTTTATGGCTGTACTTTAAACTTCTTACCAGAGGATAAAACTTTGCTTACTTGGCTTTTAAAGATGTAACGGCACCTCTTAGTATGAGCTTTCACCACTGATCCATAGTGTACACTATTCAGGTATGTGAAAAAATAAGGAGCACTTGGGCAGATGGAGGACTAGCCTGCTGTGATGAAGTTTGCTGCATCAGCTTTTGGAGCACAGCTTCTGGCTGCTACTCTGTTTATCATTTTGACCTAGAGCTATTCCAGGTGCTCTTGTGCTACATGAAGTTAATGCTCCCCTCCTTCTCTCCTGCCTCTAATGTTGCTCATCTGCTGTGTTCTCAGCGTAAACAGAAAAGGAGTTTACAGTTTGTATCTGTCTCTGCTTTCATCTGCTTTGCAGCATATTCTACTACTTCTAGACACCACAACCAAGTCCTTAGTAGCATGGAGGTGCCCAACTCGGTTGTATAACATTCTTCTGAAGAGATACGACTGTTTCTCTCCTCTCTCTGTGTACCCAGTCCTGTCTGGCACAAATCCATTTTGTGGTACCTGTAAACCAGAGCAGTGCTCTTACTGAGATTTGAAAGCCTACTTGCTTAAAATTGAAACATCCTAAAATTGCCTGCATTGTAACTTTGTGATCCAGAGTTGAATATATTTTGTCTTTTTTCTCTTTTCAAGGAAGATTAATTAAAAGGAAGTATTTAGGCAGCTCTTGAGCTGGCTGTTGACAGAGTTGCTGAAATTCAAATATGATCACTCAGTGGTGCTGCAGTTTGCCAAGGTGATGTAGAAAGCTGCAAGGGAAAGCTCAGTGTAGCTCTTCAGCCACGGTTCCTTCGGGGACTCATGTCCAGAAACTTCTCTTTACATTCTTGTAACTAGTGCCTGTTTTTGTGGTTTCAGGCTATGTTACTTGGATTTCTCCGTGGGTAAAACTGACTGGAAAAAGTTTCATCCAGATTCCTTTTATATAAGAACTTCTTAGATTTCTTAGTAAAGTCTCTGTAGATGCACATTTTTGTTTGATCTTTATCTGTTTTGGAGACACCTAAGCTCTACAGTTAAGATGTCATTATGTTTTCTACTGAAAACACAGTTGATATACTGATATTCCACATTTTACTAAGTTCTGCCTCCAAATTACACATACAAAATCTTCCAAAGAAAAATGTAACTTTTGTGGTAAAAGTGCTAGGATTTTTTTTCTGGATGGGAAAAAAAAAATAAAATTTCCCTAAAGTATGCAATTCATCAGGAGAAGCTGGACTACCGTGTTAGATGTTAAAAGAGCTCTTTATTACCTTTGAGAGGAGAAATCCTTTGATAAATCTTTTTATTTGTAGCGCATGGAAGCATACTGAAAGAAGAAATGGATGTGCTCTTATCTTGAAATAAATTCCTTTGTAAACCTGTCATTACCTTAAAATTGCATCTTTTGAGATCCTGAACAGTTCTGTAATGTACATAGAAATATCAGGAGGTTCGTCGCTTATGAGATTGCTAGCTGAAGTTCAACTGACATGTTTGTATTGCTTTAACTTTTTAGATTTGAATTCATCTTTCCGTGCCCAGTTTGGGAGAACTGTTATCATGTCTAATTACATCTCAGGCAGACTTGTATCTTTCACATTTATAGTAAGAAATAGTATTTTTTCCTTCAGGATATTTCGTGAGTAAAAGCGACAAAAAAACCCCACCTTCATTAGTAACAGACATGAACATGATTATGGATGGTTAAGAAGAAATTTGTTGTACCTCTTACAATTATTTGAATTGGTATGTTTAATTTTCAGCTGCTATAACTCTGCATGGCTCCAAGTAAATTCAGTGGAGAAATGCTGAAAGATACCAGATTTTCAACTGCCGGCTGTTAGGCTTTTAGCGCAGCAGGAGAGAGAAGCAGAGTGAGACTGGGGACATGCAATTCATTAGTCCTTGGGGTCTGAAAAGTTAAACTGCAGAGAAGGGTGAATGTAACTTTAACTTTTCATATACCCGTTAAATCTTCCATCTTGGATTGGCTGTAACCTAATCATAAGTGTCCTTCTGTATTCAAAAGAAGAGTGTTTAAAAATGCAAGTGGACTTGTTTGCCTTTAGATTAAGGGGAAGTTCTTTCATGAGATAAATTTTTGGGTTTGAAAATTCAGTTTCTTACTCTGCTGCTGAGAAGTTGGGAGCATTGTGCTTTACTTATGTAACGTGTGTTTAAAAACAAATATATTAAACTTACCACAGAACAGCAGAGTGGATAATCTGGGTAATACCAGTAAAAAATTTACTCCAGATCCTGTTTTTCAGGTTATTTGGGTTGAAAAGGTGTTCTAAATTGAAATATCTTCTATTTTGTTCTCTGAGCCACCATCTTCCACATTTCTGACAGGCTCTAGCATCAGACAAGAGCTCTTCTTTTTGTTCTTGTCTTTTATCTCATCCTGAGTTCTTATGGGTCCTTCCAGTTTTATTTCTGACTTTCACAGATTCAGCTTGCTTAAGGCAAACATAAGGAGGGAGGCCAGGCCATTCTGATCAAAAGACTGTTAACACTAATCTTAGAAAAAGCGGTGCTTATGAAAGACTTTAAATAAACTAACCTGTTTATTATTGAAGACTTTTCAGTTTACCTTAGCTAAGTTGTCTGGTTTTTTGCTACTTCCTGACATTTACACTCATGAGTAACACACAAAGATGTACCTATGTACCTTTTTGTTTTGTTTTGTTTTTGGTTTAATGGCTGTCCTTAGAAATATTTATTACTATTTTAGGAAAAAACATATTATCCAAAGTACTGCGATGTAGTAGCTGTTAGTTAGTGGTAAAGCTTGAAAGTCAGAAGTGAAATGCAGTTTTGAAGATGGAATATTCTTGGGTTTTTAGGATGCTTGCCAATCTTACCCTTTTGAGATTCATACAGTAGGTCTCTTGATAAATTGATTTTGTGAATGTCTGAATTTAATTGGAATAACCTTATATAAGAGTCCATATTATATTAACCCCTAATCAGGCATATTTTTCTGTTAGCCAAAAGTAGAGTCATACTTGAAGAAAAAATATCCTGCTGGGGGTGTGTCTGTGTGTATGTACACACACATATATATGTTTACATATGTGAGTAAACACCCAGCTGGCTATGTTTTAGGAGTAAGAATTTTCAGCATTTGGGAAAGGAAAACCTGTGGTTGCTGTGGATATCCATACATAGACCCCTTAGTTCAAATAATGGATGAAAATGTAGAAAATATAAGTTAATTTTCAGATACTCCTTCCCTAAGCTGCTTCTATTATATTCAGTCTGAAAGTCATCTGAGAGGTAGATAGAAAATGCTTTTGACTTCATGGCAGAAGCAAGTATAATTGTGGTTCATGAAACTTCTGGCTAAAGCTAGAAGAAATCAAGTTTCTATGGTCTACGACAATGGCAGTTTGTTTTTGTGAGATGCCAGCAAAGACTTTTGGGGGAGCTGACAGACATTTTATTTCTAAGTTACAGGGTGCAACCTAAAACAGGCCACATACTGTAAAAAAAGCCTGACAGCTGAATAGAAGCC